TATGTCTTGAATTTTTAACAGGCTATTCTGCTTAATCCTGGAATTTCCACCACAAATTTAAATTTCCTGTGACTAATCTTAGCTGAAACTCTCAAAGAAGGATGCCAAGATTTGGATTTGTTTTCTTTCTTGCTGAGTTTGGATAGATATTCATAAGAAACTGCCATGGCAGAAAGCCCTTTTGCTCACCTCACAGCCGACTGGTGGCTGTTTTAATAGTAATTATGTTTCATGCCAAGTTACAATCTTACATTTAAAGGCGTAAATCAATTATTGCATCTGGGTACCAAAATGCACTACGGTAATGGTAGTTTGCAGTTACAAATTACTCATTGAATATACCTGCAGCTGCATTTTTAGTGTTTACCTCCACTTGTCTGATGTCCACTTCTCACAGAGTGTATTATTTAGTTATCTAGGCTGTATAACAAGTTACCCAAAATTTAGTGGTTTGAAACAATATTTATTATCTTGAAGTCATTTCTGGGTCAGGAATCCATGTGAGACTTAGCTACATCTTTTGGTTTGATCAGGGAGTTGGCTAGGGCCATAGTCATTTCAAACCTCAACCAGGGAAGGATCTGCCTCTATGCTCCCTCAGATGGCTGTTGGCAGGCCCCAGGTTCTCACTGGCTATTGGCTAGAGACACCAGTGCCTTGTTATTTAGGGTTGCTCACATCCTCTCCAAGAAGGAGAGCCAGAGATGGAGAGGAAAAAGGTAAGTGATGTGTTGAAACCTAACACCCAAGATGATGGTATCAGGACGTGGGGCCTTTGGAAAGTGATTAGGTCATGAGGATGGAGCCATCAAGAAGGGGATTGGGCCCGGATGGTGTGGCTCAGTGGTTGAGCGTCGACCCATGCACCAAGAGGTCACTGGTTCCATTCCTGGTCAGGGCACATGCCCAGGTTGTAGGCCAAGTCCCCAGTGGGGGACATGCAGGAGGCAGCCAATTGATGTTCTCTCTCATCGATGTTTCTATCTCTCTCTCCCTTCCTCTCTTTCTAAAATCAATAACGAAAAAAAAAAAAAGAACGGGACTGGGCTCTGGCTGGTTTGGCTCAGTGGTTAAAGTGTCAGCCTGTGGACCACAGTCTCGAGTTCGATTCTGGTCAAGGGCATGTACCTCGGTTGTGGTTCAGTCCCCATCCCTGGTCTGGGTAGTACAGGAGGCAACCAGTCAATATGTCTCTCTCACATCAATGTCTCTGTCTCTGTCTCTGTCTCTGTCTCTCCCTCCCTCCCTCCCTCCTACTTTAATTGAAAATAAATGGAAGAGTATCCTCTGGTGAGGATTAAAAAAACAAAAAGAATGGGATTGGGGCCCTCATGAAAGCCACTGAAAAAGCTCCCAAGCCCCTTCTGCCATGTGAGAACACAACCAGAAGTCAGCAGTCTGCAGCCCAGAAAAAGGCCTCACTAGCACCCAACCATGCTAGCACCCTGACCTTGGACCTCCAGCTTCCAGAACTGTGAGTGATAAATTTCTGTTGTTTATAAGCACCTGGTTCAATGGTATGCTTGTTGTAGCAGCCCAAACAGACTACGACAGTAAGCATAACAGAAGCCACTGAGTCTTTTCATAACCTAATCTCTGAAATGACATTCCCGGACTTTTGCAGTATTCTGTTTGTTAGTAGCAAGTCACGAGGTTCCGCACACACTTTAGAAAAGGAGGCACTGGTGGTCACTGCCTACCTCACAGAAACTCCATTTAACGCAGTGTTTCTCAAGCTAATCCTGGTGAAGAACCAGCTTTTTGTTTATTTGTTGGTTTTGTTCTCATTTCCAATCTGTTGTGGGTCATCATTTTTGTAAAATAAATACAAATTAATTTCTAAAAAAATAAAATAACAAAGACATAAAAAAAACAAACCCATTGAGTCCTGGCCAGTTTGGCTCAGTGGTTAGAGTGTCGGCCCATGGACCAGAGAGTCCTGGGTTTGGTTCCTGCTAAGGGCACATACATACCTCGGTTGTAGTTTGTCTCCAATCCCGGTTGGGATCGTGTGGGTAAGCAACCACTCGATGTGTCTCTCTCATGTAGGTGTTTCTCTTTCTCTTTTCCCGTCTCTCCCTCCCGCTCTATCAGAAGATAAATGCAAGAATGTCTTCAGGTTAGGATTAAAAAAAACAAAAACAACCATCAATCACATGTTGGATGTCGCAACAATGTCAAATTGCTACAAAATTTTCTAAACAGTCTCCATTCTGTTACTTCCTCGTCTGAACCAGATACAGATGGTTTGTGGATTGCCATTCGTTTTGAACTGTCTTTTGATCAGCGCTGACTTAAGGATTTTAATAAACACAGATGACTTTTCAAGGCTTTTACTTGATTTGCACTATTCACTTGGCTATTCCTGGATGGAAGGATTCTAGGAGGAAAAACAAAAACAAAAAACTAACCTCACTCCACTCTCTGTAGTCCTAAAAACGGGACCTTTTGTTACAGTTAAGGTCAAGGGAGTGTGGAATTATGAGTCTCCTATTTAGTATTTTACCCCAAAGTCCTTTATGTCCCTCATTTTCCTTTTCTCCACCTGTAAACTAGAATTAAGCCACACTTAACTGAGCAGTCAGACAGACACTAGGATTATCAATTCACATTTAAAAGGTCAGCTCCCTCCCCAACTAATGTTAGAAGTTTGAATGCCCTTCCTAGTCTATTCGGATCCCTCAAAAGCTATCTCAAACGCTCTCCCTCTCTGAAGCCTGCCCACACCTTTCCCACCCCCACTGTCTACCCCCAAGCCAGGTTACCTTTGCCTTCCTCTCTCCTAAGCGCCAAGGGCTCTTCTTTTGCTTCAGTAACTTCTTTCCTGAGCCTACACAGCCCTGCTGGTTCACTTCTACTACCTCTGTAACTTACTAAATAATCTTTCTCCTATAATTTGAAAACAACAACACATATTTCACCTGTAAATTCCTCATTTCAGCTGAAGAAAATATATATTTCTTGAGCACCAACTCTGTGCAAGATTCTGGAAGATACTATTTTCTAGAAGGCACATTGCTCTTCTCCCTGGCTTTACAGCACTTCTTTTATAGTCATTTACATTTCCTCAATATTTTGGCTTTTGAGAGAGAGCATTCTTTCCCTTGTTTCAAAATCTAATCTTAATGAAACCATAAATTTACTGAACAAAAGTACCCATTTCATATCCTCACAGCTTCCAACACAGCAGCAGGCAGTAGACACATTAAATCAGCTGACATTTACCAAACCCACAACCCGAATCTTCTGTCCAGGGTCTAAGTGGTGTGAAGAGGTCTTCTGTCCCAAATCTCGGTAATCTGGCCAGCATCTCTCTTCATCCCTCTTCCAGCCTCTTCACCACCCCGAACTCATCCACCAAGGCTTAAAGCAGAAGCGAACTGTGCTCCCCTGGCCCTCACAGGGCAAACTGAAATCTCGTGTGAAGTTATCACTATCCCCCAAGAGAGAGGAGAAACCCAGGTGGAAGAAGGGGCCTTTAAAAACAAGTCTTGCTCAACTTCCTACACAACTGCCACCTTGATTTGAGCATCCTTTCCTTCCTCACTAAGGAAGGGAGTGAGGGTGAATAAAACCAACATTTGCAATCCCAGTGCCAGACAACTGTGTGGGCACAAAGGTGGGTCAAACAGGTTTTCTTGCCCTCAAGAATCTGCAGCCGGCAAATCACACCAATCCTCAACTAGAATACAAAGTGGAAGGTACCTAGTGTTGCATTATTGGCACATGGAGAAAACACTGTGGAAGAACAGATGGGGGTAGTGATTAATTTCAAATGGTGAAAACTCAGAGGATGTATCTTTGGGTTAAACCTTGGAGGATGGTAACACAAATAATGGGTAACATTCGGAGAGAAATTCCTATGGTTGGTGGTTGACATGCATTTCATTTGGGGCTCACAAAAGGTCTGCTGGGAAGGTGCTATTATTAGTCCTATTTTACAGTGAGGAAACTGAGGAACACAGAGAGTGAGCAATTTGTCCAAGGTCGGGACTGGTAAGTGGTGGAGAGGGTACGTGAATTCTAAAGCTGGTGCTCTTAATCCTCAAGAAGTAAAGAAGACCATGAGGGAAGGCCTAGCATCGTGTAGGGCACACCCAGGTTACAGTGAGGAGTCTGTGAGGCTGGAGCCCAAGGCCTGGGGAGGACGGAGTGCTCTCTGATCCCAATGGCAGCTGCGGAATCTATGTCAAGCTCTGGGCTTTAAATATAATATGTCATCTGACCTCACCACATCCCCATTTGACAGGTGCTATTCTCCCCATTTTACAGATAAGAAAACTGAGGCACAGGGAAGTTAAACAACTTACTGAAAGCCACACGACTGGCAGACATCCGAATCCAGGGAGCAGACTCCTGAACCCTCTAAGGGGGCCCAGTGTTCTCACGTGGGTGGAAGCCCTCTGCATGCTGCCTGTGCCTAGACTTTTTCCCAGCCTCTACATCCTGTCCCTTCCCACCCATACTTCCTGCTGACCCTGTACTCCCACGCGGGCATTCAGCTTCGACCGCCCGGCCTAGTAGCACAAGGTTAGGAGCTACTTAGCGCCCACAATTCCTGCTCCCAGAAAGCTTTGCGTTCCCCTGGCAATAAGGAGCCTTTGAGCTGGGGAGCCCCTCCCCGCCCTGCGCAGGCCCCGCCCACAGGCGCGGGCCCCGGGAGGCCGTGGGCGTGTCTCCGGCGGCTGCGCCCCAGGCCGGAGGCGGGGCCTTGCCGCGGCGCCCTGCTACCGGGCGGCCAGGCGGTAGGGGTACGCGCGCAGGTGGCTCCTCCTCCGTCTCTCCTGAGCCCCAGGCACCTTGTGAACCGGCGAGGAATCGCCTTTGTGCCGGGCTCCGGGAACCCGCGACGGCCGCTGCGCATCCGGGTCCATTGTTTCACTTCTCCGCCTCTGCTGGGCAAGTGTTGGCGGTGCGCGGGGCCCGCACGTGTCAGCGCGGAGGCTGGAGCGCTGGGACCCACGGGCGCCGGCAGGGGCGTCCCGGGCGTGCTCCGGGAAATGAAGCACCTGAAGCCGTGGTGGTCCGACGGCGGCGGCCTCCTGCACCTCACCATCCTGCTGAGCTTGGCGGGGCTCCACCTGGACCTGGACGTGGATCTCTACCTGCTGCTTCCGCCCACCCTGCTGCGGGATGATCTGCTGCTCTGGGGCGCCCAGACGAGTCCCGCCTACGCGCCCAGCCCCTTCCAGACCTCGGGAGGGAGGGGGCGCGCGGACCACCTGCACCCCAAAGGACGTGAGCCAGACCTCGCGGCGGAGCCGGAGGGCCAGCTGCTCCGGGAAGTGCGCACGCTAGGAGTCCCTTTCATTCCCCGCACCCGCGTGGATGCGTGGCTTGTGCACAGTGTGGTGGCTGGGGACGCCGACGGGGCCCACGGGCTGCTCGGCGCCGCCGCCGCCTCGTCGGCGGGAGGAGTCGGCGCCAGCGGGGACGGCGGCAGCCAGACTTCGCTGGGGGGTGGCGGGGACCCCCAAGTGGCTCCAAGTAGCCCCTTGGCGGCTGGGGAGGAGGAGAAGGCGTCAGCGGAACCGGCGGAACCGACAGCTCAAGTGCCGGACGCCTGCGGACGCGCGAGCGAGGTAACAGGAGAGCGAGGACGCGAGCGCGGTGCGGGGTGAGCTGGCCCGGAGTCCTAGAGGGTGCGAGGAACCTGGGGGCTGGAGGGGACACACCGCTGACTTTCACCCTCAGCCCCTAGGTGATTGTAGGTTCGCGGGCGACTGTGCGCCCCTCCTTTTTGTGAAACCTGAATGAGGCTGTAAGTGCTGTCGCTGTGACTTTTAGGTTTTTGAGAAAGAAGCAGGTGAAATCGTTGTAGGGGACACCTTTTTTGTGTTTGATGGCTCTCAAAGGTATTGGGGGCTGGGGACGGGAGAAGGGATGCTGGTAATGTTCTTGCCCGCTATCCTCTTTCAGTACTTCGTGTGCACTGAGATGTTTTGTTGTTGTTGTTTTTCCTTTTCTGGAACCCGTGCCCGACTCGCAGGATCGAGAAGGAGGCCGTGGCCTCCGGGAGGTCGCACGTTTTCCTCAAGAACCACGCTCCCAGCCTAACCCCGCCCGGATTTTTAACTCCAGTTGCAGTTCGTTTTTGCTGCTTCTCTGGATGAGGAGCGGTGGACAGTGTCCAGGCTGAGGCCAGCAGGCCTACCGTCCCCTCGTGGCCACCCTCCCCAGCGCTAACAATGCTCATCCCTCCTGGAACATGTATAATCAATTATTAGCAAAAAACAGGAACCCTGCAGTCACCTGTGACTAACAAATTATCGTTGGTTTATAGGTTCAAACCCTTTGGCTTAACTTTCTTTTGAACAAAGTTCACCAAGATCTGTTGATTTAAGTATCTGTGTGGCTCCCAACTGCCCCTTCCACAAAACCACCTTATCCAAAGTTCCTTCTTTCTTGGCCCGACCCTTAGCGATAACAATTGGTATCGATCAACAAGTGTTTGTTCCTTGGACGTTGTTTTTGTGGAGTGCAGTCTTATGCAAAATGGGAATTGGGGCTAGACAGGTTTGTTTGCTGCTCTTCAGAATTGCCGTTTATGTAGGCAGTTGTTAGACGAGCTTCTCCACCCTCTCCTGGAGGGGTCATTGTGCCCAAGTGCTGGGTGATTCAATGTTATGCAGATCTGATTCCTTCCTTTTCCTGGGACCGGAACTAATGGGGTGGGGGTTGGTGGGAGTCTTGGTGGGCTCCTGTCTGTTGGGAACAGTGGAAGGTTGTTCCCACCCACTCATCTGATCTGGACCCTCACCTCAGTTCTCTGTCTCCCACCTGAAGTTCATGCTGCATGGCTACCTTCCCTGATTCTGTAACATACAGGGTGAAACCCAATGCTGGATGCTGTACCAGATGGCATCCTGCCCCCTCACAGCTGAATGCCAACTCACTGGCAAAGTATACAGGGACCTGGAGAGAGGTGAGACAATTCACTCTGCAAGGACTTCCCTCTCCCCAGCATCACCTAGTTAAAGCTGTTGAGACAAGCAAGCCTGCCCTGGAAGAAGCTCCCCTGGCCCGGCCCAGCCCAGCCAGACCTTGGAGTCCTTGAGCCTAGTTTTCCTAGGGCAGAGGTGAAGTTCACACAAGGCCGTTCTGGTGGTGTCTCCCCGCCTGGCAGGTGTGGCCCTGCTGAACCTTGGTAGCTGTAGGGATGACCTGGTTATATTAATTTCAGTGTTGATCAGCTGTGAAGCACCTTACAGTTTTCACAGCTAATTCACCTTTATTGGTATTGCCTTTTAAAAAATTTTATTGATTGATTAATTCTCACCTGAAGATATTTTTCTTTTTTTTTTCTTTTTTTGAGAGTGAAAAGGAACCGACAACTCCTTTTGAGAGACACTGATTGGTTGCCTCCCACAAGTGCCTCAACTGGGGCTGGGGATCAAACCCGCAACCCAGGTACAGCCCAGTGCTCTAGCCACTGAGCCATATCCACCAGGAGGTAATGCATTTTTTACATCAACTTTATGAGGTACACAGGCCTGGCAGCCTTATATCCAATTTGTACTTAAAGCAAATAGAGACCCAGCGAGGTTAGGGGACTTGGCTAAAGCCACACAGTTGTAGTCCCAGAAGTGGGACTAGAATCTGAGCTTCCTGACTGCCAAACTAGCACAGTAATTAGGCACCTGCACTAGACTCAGGTTCTCCGGACAAGCGTGCAGCTGGAATGAGTGACGCCCCTCACTACTGACTCTTCATTGCTGCCGAGGTTACAGTTTGGAGCCATGACTGGGAGAAAATGGGCTGGGAATGCGACACCGGTTTTTGCAGCCCTCAAACCTGGATTTAGGAGCATCGCTTGCTAACATACCCTCATACAGGTCACTCCAAGCCTGAGAGTTTCATCAGTGGAGGAGTAATGCTTACCTCGGGGCGATGTGCCAATTAAATGGGGAAAGCATGTGTGAAGTGCCAGCCCATTGCCTGGCTTGTAATTGGTGTTCTCTTATTTCCCCTCCATCCTCAACCCATCTTCCTTATCCTGTCCCCACTCACTTTATTACCTTTTATTTGTCTATGTGTCTGGCTTGGTTGTTTGTTTGTCGAGGGGGTGGATGGAGTGTGTTGGAGCCAGACTTCCTGGTTTTGAATCCCAGCTCTACCACTTACAGCTCTGTGACCTTGGCCAGTTTCTCAACCCATCTGGGCTGCATTCTCCTCACCTGCACGTTGGGAATAATAAAGGTGCCTACCACATAGGGTTGTTATGAGAGACAATTCATTCTGCACAACAGGCTTAGAACTATGCCGGTCACATCTCAAGTGCTGTTACTTAAGTTACGTTAACTTCAAAGAGGGAGTGCTTTGCCCCATAGACCATTATAGGTTTGTTGTTATGTTTTTAAATAGATCGTCCTGGTGGCTTACATTTGAGTTGCAGGGAACTCTGGTTTTATAGTACAATTTTTTATAATTTTTGTACATGTACAAAAATATTCTGGAGTAGGGGATTTTCCAAGTATCAAAAGAAGTACTACTTTGGTTTCACTTCTTAGTGGAGCCCATCACTATTAGAAAACAGAATCCGGAATTCCCCAAGGCAGACACGCTTCCCTTCGTGACCACAGCCATTCACTCAACCCGTGAAGCACGCGCTCTAAAAGTAATGCGTGGGTGATGCAAAGAAATGTACAGTTTTTGCATAATTGAGTATGTGAGCTTATTTGAAGATGGATGACTGCTTACCAGCTTCAGTGTCTCAGGGAGCTGTTGCCCCTTTGAAATTGAGAGGGCTTGTCATCTTGATGTGGTTTCCTGCCCTGGGATGGGCACCCTCTGCTGGGTGAGGGCATTGGACTGTGTTTCTTCAGGTCACAGGAAGAATCTGATACAGTCAATACTTGCCTCTAAGAGGAAAGAGGAAAGAAAGGTCCTTGATTGTTAACGTAAAGACTGTTTTTCCTTTCAAAATCAAAGATAGTCCCTGATGCCTAGGCAGTTGCAGATAGATGGAATTTCAAACACTTGCCTGTTTTTAACTCACAATAGGATACAGAAATAGTCCAGTCATTACATACATTGCGGTACTGCAGCTTCACGCAGGCTCTTCGTTTGTTTATTGAAGGACACAGTGGTCTCAGCTGGGAAAGGATGACATAGGTCACGGTATTAGTGTCCTAGGGCTACTGTAACCAAGTACTACAAACTGGGTGGCTTAAACAATAGAGATGTACTGTCTTGCAGTTTTGGAGACAGGTGTTGGCAGGGTTGGCTCCTTCTGCGGGCTCTGGGGGAGAAGCTGTTCTGGGCCCTGGCTTGTGGCACTTTGCTGGCAGTCTTTGGCAACCCTCACCTCAATCTCGGCCTTCATCTTCATGTGCCATTCTCCTTGTGTGCGTGTCAGTGCCCACATTTCCTTTGTTATAAGGACACCAGTGTCCTGTGGGATCAGGGGCCACTCTATTCCTCTGAACTAATTGCCTCTACAAGGCTCCCATTTCCAAACACTGTCACATTCTGAGCTTCTGAGGGTTCTAACTTCAGCACATGGATTTTGAGGGTTACAGGTCAGTGTATTAAACATAGTCACCATACCCCTTTTCCTGACAACTTTTGGGTGATCAGCTTGTGTAGCAAAGTGGGCTCCAACTACGGAAAACTAAGCTGTTTCTGGAAGGAGCCGGTCTCTGTGGGGGATGGTTTGCAGCAGGATATGCTATATGCTCGTGAGCAAATCTGGCTTCTTTTTGCTGCCTTGATGTGCAACAACCCTGAGGAACCTTATTTCAAACTTTCTCCAGTCAGCCCGTCATCTCAATTGGTAGGTCGCAGGCGTACTGTCTCTGCAGTGTCCTTGTACCATTCAGTCTCTTCCTCTCCATCCCCCTATTTCTCAGCTCAACTGAGACATTAGAGTGCAGGGCCCGGGCCCTGACTCAGAGGCAGGCTGGCCTAGTGGCCCAGTGCCCTGGACTGGAATCAGATCAGCTGTGGTACATTTCGGCTCCACCCCTGACTGGTTGTAAGATCTGGGCCTCCCCCCTTTTTAATCCTCACCCACAGATATGTTTATTGATTTGAGAGAGAAGACAGACATTGATATCAATCGGTTGTCTCATATATGCCCCAACTGGGGATCTAACCTGATCTAATCTAGGTATGTGCCCTGACCAGGAATTGTACCCACAACCTTTTTGGTTTACGAGATGCTGTTCCAACTAACTGAACCACCCGGCCGGGGCTGGGGCACACTTAACCTCTCTTTGCCTGGATTCCCTTATTTGTAAAATGGGATGGGAGTGTATGTCAGGGAGTTGTTGTGAGGGTTAAAGAAGATCATGCAAGTTCAGCAAGGTTGGTGCATGGTATGCCCTCCAAGATGTTAGCTACTGCTGTCGGTTCAGGTCCCTGAGCTCTGTAATGCCACTACCCCCACTTATTTCTGTCCTTTTTGTTGCCGGGTGCAGGGTTCCAAAGCATGGCTTGGTTCTCTCCACTTCCATTTGGAGAGCCTCCACCAGTTCCTCATTCGCTACCAGTTTGATATTCTGTCATTCAAAGCTCCTGCTGTGGCCAGTGTGACCCAGCTCCTTAACTGCCCTAGCTGAGCTCATCTCCCATGATCCTCTACCTGTAGCCTCCTTTCCAGCTAAGACTTTCTCCCTTTTCCCCGGACAACCCCCTGCTTTCCTGTCTCTTACTCTGTTCCTTTTGCCCAGAATGCCTCTTTCGTTCCTCCCAAGTCTTTCACTGTTAAATTCTCAGACTCATCTCAACTATCACCTCATCTACAAGCATTTCCTGTTCTTCCCTTCAAGCTCTGTGGCACTCTGTAATGTCGTCTGTGGCACTCGGCATTCATCTTAAATTGTCCTATCATGCTTTAAGAGCCAGCCCAACACTTGGGACAGCCCTCCTAACCTGAGAGTCCGATTGCTGTGTGCCCCGCCAGCCTCCCTGTTGGAACTGAGCACGGACCAGGACAAGTGGCACTCTCTGCTTTGAACCTCAGTGCCTTGAGTGTGGAAACTGGGTCTTCACTTTAACCCGCAGGTGGTACCCAGGACGGAGTGAGGAGTGCAGGTGGTTCAGCCAGTGTTTGTTGAGCGCTCCTTGTCCATCCCTCCACGTTGGCTCGGTACCATGAACTTGAATGTGTCGTGGGACCTTCATGGCCAGAGTCCAACTAGAAAGTAGGTCAGATCCAAATCCTGATGGGCTATCTGACCATTTAATGCCAATTTGAGTGGACGGGGGCAGCAGACTTTCAGGTTGGCATTATAATTAATCAAGTGGTGAAACAGGATTGCCCAAAGTTACACAGCAAGTTAGTGACCTTGCCCAGAATAGAACAGGTCAGTGTTCTTTAAGCACTGAGTAAACCACACCTCCCACCCACTACGAAACGACGCGTAGTAAAAACAGGCTTCTCCCATTCATGGCAGCCTTTCGAAATGAACACTTAAGGGTCCGTGTTACTGTTCAGACACACTCGTGGGGAGCTGGAGCTGGTGGGGCTAAGGGACACACTGGGATTGCTTTGGGTTAAGTTGCAGGTGGTGGTGGACAGAGTCTAAATAGTAGCATAGAGGCCTGATCTATGGTCACAGTGGTGCCAACTTTTGAGATTGAGTATGACTCAGTATCAGTCAGGGCTCTCCAGAGAACAGAACCAGTATAATAGGAACACACACACACGCGATTTCAAGGCATTGGCTGTGCAGTTGTGAAGGCTGGCAAGTCCAAACACTAGCCTAGTTGGAAACTCAGCAGTCTTGAGGCAGAATTTCTTCCTCAGGGAAACCTCCCTCAGGTTTGCTTATAAGACCTTTCAACTGATTGGATGAGGCTCACTCAGATTATCAAAGATGATTTCTTTAGTCACCTGGTCATGCCTGGCCAGTGTGGCTCAGCGGATTGAGCATCGTCCCATGGACTGAGAGGTTCTGATTCTATTCCCAATCAGGGCACAGACCCGGGTTTCTGGCCCGATCCCCAGGAGGGGGCGTGCAGGAGGCAGCTGACTGGTTGTTTCTCACATCGATGTTTCTATCTCTCCCTTCCTCTCTCTAAAGAATCAATCAAAACATTTAAAAAAATAAATAAATAAAGTCACCTGGTTGATTGTAGCTCTCAACCACATCTACAAAATACCTTCACAGCAACACCTAGGTTAGTGTTTAATTGAGCAACTGTACTACAGCCTAGTCACATGCCACATTAACACAAACGACTGATCACCACACCATCCCAGTTCCATTTCTACCTGGGCAACCTTTGTGAGAGGAGAATGTTAACCTCTTTCTGGAAAGTTCCATTTCTACCTGGGCAACCTTTTTGAGAAGAGAATGTTAACCTCTTTCTGGAAGAGTTCTGATGAGAATTTAATGGAATTGTGCTTTATTTTATTTTATTTTTTCTTTCTTGATTTTGGAGGGAGAGAGAGAGAAACATCGATGAGAGAGTGCATCGATTGGGTGCCTCCTGCATGTGTCCTGACTGGGAATCGAACCAGCGACTTCTTGATGCATGGGTCGACGCTCAGCCACTGAGCCACACTGGCTGGGCGATGGCCCTGTGCTCTAAAGGGCTGGTACAGTTCCTAGCATATTATAGATGTTCAATAGACGATTTGCTCTTATTGCCCCAGAGCGGGGGGGTCAAATCTCTAGGAAACTCCTGCCCTGCTAGGTCATGCTGGGACTGGCTTTGGCATGACAGGAGGGACCCTTCTGTCCCCAAGGGGGAAGGGATCATTCAGGAAATGGTTGGCTGGAATGGGGATGTTCCAAGATGAGGTGATCAGACTGAAGAGGGAACAAGATTACCAGCTCAAATATTTGAAAAGCTGTGATGGGAAGAAGGCCTTGGACTTTGGAGGAGGCAGAACCCTTCTATAAAGATTTCAGTATACATTCCTGAAATATGAGGACTCTTTTAAATATAACCACCGTGCAATTAGCACACAGAAAAATCAGTAATTCTTTGATATTAGCAAATATCTCATCAGTGTTCAGATTCCCCAGTTATCTCGAGCAGTTTTCCAGAGATGGTTTGTTGGACTCACGATCCAAACAAGTCCTGCCTTGCGTGTGGCCAGCTGTTCTGCATGATGACGTGACCCTCAGAAAGGAGCTTCAGGTGCTCGGCTCTTCTCACGGCTGCTGTTCTCTGTGTGAAGCAAGTGGGAGCCAGTGCAGGTAGTGGGGGTGCAGTCGGGGTTCCGGCAGGAAGCAGCATTCACCCTGGATGGCTCCCTGAGGGACTTAATGAATGGCTTCTTGCAGGAGCAGACAGGGATGGGGTACCCAGAGACTACCAGCGGGCAGGAGTGGAAATAGTGTTGCCAGAGCCGAAAGAAGTGGTGAGGGGCTGTTGCCACAGAGAACATAAGAAATGCCTCGGCCTCTCCTTTGCTCACCCCCCTATCTCCTGCTCCCCCCTCCCACTGGCGAACCCAGCCCGAAGCCAGCCAGCACAGGAGCCCAGGTTTGCAAGGGACAGCTTCTGGGGGACACATGGTTCCAGAGGGCAAACAAGTAGCAGGACAGTGCGTAGGATCTGGCTCTGAAGTAAAAACGCCTGCAACCAAACCCTGGTTCTGCCGCTTACTAGCTACGTGACTTCAAGGCAAGCGGCTCAGCCTCGCTGTGCCTCAGTTTCCTCTTGTAAGAGGAATGCCGAGCAGCTTAAATGAGATTATGTATGTGGGCCCACGAGTGCTCAATAAATGCGAGTTATAATTATTATAAACTGCTGTTAAAAACCACCCAGGCCAAACAGGACACAGTCTCTCTTTATCTGGCTCCTCGTGTCTCTCGACCTGATGACTCCAGCTTGCCTCCAGCCTAGAGATGGGCCCCAGAATTCTTTGGCCTTCACCCCTGTCCCTCTGATGTCATCCTTCTCGGAGGCACCACACTGCTCTTTGTCTTTGAAGGTTCATCCAACCCTAAAGGTCAAAGCAGGCCTCAGTGCTTCCTCCCCCAGATGAATAGATGAAAGGCCCAGCGCAGCCTGCCGGGATTGTTCACAAAGAGTTTTTTTCAGCGTCAAACCCGCCGTCACACTATTCGGGGCCCAATACAGTCAGATAAGTACAGACTCAGAAACCATGTTGCCAGTTAGCAGAACTTCTGTGATGTAGCAAGAAGAGCAAAGCTTGGCTCCTTTCTTCGCCTCCCCACTGCCCTGGTCGACTCAGGACGCTGGCCCGAGACTCGCACTGGTGGCCAAGGTAAAGTGGCAGCTGGACCACAGGTGTCACACATTTACAGCCCAGTAGGAAAGACAAGATCCAAATAATAGTTGTAATTTTAGATACAACCGGACAAGTGTCATGAGAAAAAAACGAGGGGCCACGGGAGTTTAGAGACAGGAGAACCCAGTTTTAGCTGCGGGGCCCACACTGAGAAGGTTGTGGATCCAGGTGGAGGGTGGGGAGGGCCCTTCTAGCAGGGGCTGGTTCAGAGCAAGTCACTGGATTTCGGGTTGTGACCAGACACCCCGGCTCACAGGGTTACGATCTTCCTAGGACAAGCATGGAAACTTTCTGGGTTTTTTTTTTGAGTCCCAGCCACACGAGTAAATATCACCTACACACAAATAAAAAGTAACTTAATGATGGGTTGAATTTACTCAGTCTTTAGATTAAGAGCATGGACCATAAATCTCCACTGTAGTTGTAAAACACACACACTGTGTATCAGCTCCGTGTCACTGCGCTGAGAAAAAGAGAAACAGCGCAAACAGGAATTACTGGCTACCTGGGGCTGGCTTTCTCTTGACGCTCTGATTGAGTTGCCAGCTGTTAGGCATTAAAGGCAACTCTTTGGGATCAAAAATACAGTAAAAAGGAGTAGTAATTAATGTCTGTATAACATCTTAAGATGTATAAAGTGTCTTCTCAACTAATTTAAAATGTGAATTAGAAAATGTCTTTTCACAGATGAGGAAACCGAGGGTCAAAGTGGCCCATGGTCACACAGCTGGTAGGAGTAGGATGGGCCCTTTTACTGGGCAGGTTTTGGACCTTAGCCCTCCCAGCCACAAGCTTTTGTGTGACTTTGAGGACTCTGCAAATTATATTACAGGCATGAGAGGCCTTTTTCGCTTTCTAAATGGAAATATTATAATATTGAATCCTCTACCCCTCTTGCCTGGAGATTCTGGTCTCTCCTCTCTCCCACTTGTCACAAAGTGTGTTCTCTGGAAGGGGGACGCTGAGACCGAGTTGAGTGCACAGTGTTTATAAGGGCGAAGTACCGTTGGCAGCTACGGCTGTGGAGGGGGGAGGTGGACCAGACGCAGGAGTCAAGCTGTGATGCAGGCTAATGAGACCAGGAGCTTTAGGGCTAAGGTGGTGCACAGCACGACTGTCCCACACGGAGCCCAGATGGCCAGGCCTCTGTACCCTCCCTGCCCTGGGAAGCGGGACCTTCAGGAAAGCAGCTGAGGCTTTCTCTAAGGGCACAGCTGGAGGTGGTCTGCCCACAGGTCTCCAGCAGCTGCCACAGGTCCTTCCTTGAGGTGATCCAGGTTGCACGGCTCCCGGTGCATCACACTCACCTGGGGGAAATTCCGCTCTTTCTTCACTTGTAGCGCAGGCTTCTGTTAGCTTTGTGACAGGCTTGCAGTGAATGGTAGTTGAATGACTAAGTGGTCCTCACTCAGGGTCTCATGAGGTTCTAATCAAGACGTCGGTTGGGTTACATGTATCTGAAGGCTTGACGAGCTGTAGGATCCGCTTCCAAAATGGATCACTCACATGGCTGTTGGCTGGAGGCCTCAGTTCTTTGCCAAGTAGACTCTGTAGAGAGCTTGGATGTTGCCCTTACGCACGAGCACTGGCCCTCCGCAGCACAAGGGGCCAGCAGGGCAGCGAGGAGGGGCGCTGAGCAGCAGCAAGGGCCTTTGCACCTCCTGGCGCGCACGAATTTCTGCAGTTCTGCGGAACCCCAAAATAAATGTTAGCTGGTCTGACAAA